CATGATGGCCTAAAGCAGCAAGGGGGAGGAAGATGAAGCTCCTGTGTTAGCCTTTCCCAGGAGAACAACTTTGTGAAGCCAGAGATTGTTGCCAACCAATTGTTATTAGAAGTGGTCACAGGTCACATAAGGCCTTGAATGGTTTTAAGGACATTAGTAGGAAGGAGAGTCAAGACTACTGGCACCTAGATAATAGGAACAATGGAGTGTTTCACCTCCTTTTCATGAATTACAAATCTGGATCTCATAGAAGTGTCCAGATAATCTTGTCTCCCTTTCATTCTCTACATCTGTGAGTAGTCTTTCACAATGGCCCACCAACAGCGTGTTCCTACCTCTTTTACTTATGTAGAAGCCAATATATTTTTTAAGTAGAATTGTATTTTTTTCATTGTCCATAGTTATTATTAGATATGTAATTAGTCTTGGAATAATAATTTTGATAATCACCATTTATTGAATGTCTACAGTACAAATCCTTGAATTAGATATTAGGATAGGGTGAGGAAAAGGATGGATGGAAAAGGAATGAAAGATGACATTTCTGTTTTTGTGAAGGTTAGAAAGATAAATATACTCCCATAGGATGGATACAACCAGTTGCACTGGAAAAAATAGAGTGCATAAAAATAAATATATCGCTTAAATAATTTCAGAGTCAATTCTTAAAACTTTAGTAGTCGACATTATCCTTGCCATGTATCATCCTGTCTGTCCTTTTATAATGCAACTGATGAGATTAGGGAAAGAAAGGAAAATTCGGTTATAGGGCATTTTTTATATTCCTAATTTGACCAAAAATCAAGTGTAGTTTAGAAAATTTTGGGGGGGGAGTGTACCAGTGATTGAACTTGGGACCTTGCCCTTGTGAGGCAGGCGGCAGAACCACTGAGGTAAATCCCCGGCCCTGTAAAACATTATCTTTAATAGGAAAATTAGCACTATTCTCAGCAAGATCTGATATGCTGTAGCACTTTAACAGTTAATTACTATGTGTTTTAAGCTTCTTATAGGTAAATTGGTTTCTGCATCATTATAAAAAGAGCATGAATTCTTGTATGTCTTACTTTGATGAGTATTTCCCCCTACTACCTTCTTGTATGAGGCACCCAGATTAGAAGTCTGTTTTAAATGATAAATGTAAATTTATACTTACTAGTAAGGTTTTGGTTTAAAAACAAAGAAGAACCTATGTGTATGTGTGGCTTGAAATAAAAGAGGACAAAATTCAGCATTTCTGCGAAGTGTCGAATCATTATAAAAAGTTTTATATGTTTCTTGTGCTATAATTTAAGCTTAAATGGGAAAACTTTGAACTGAAAAGAATCATCTAAGCCAGCTTTAGCTACTTCAGTGTGGTGCCCAGACAAGCAGAGTCAACATCACTGGGAGCTGGTTCAGAATTCACATTCACAGGCCCCACCTCCAGCTTTCTGCGGCAGAGTGTCTTTACATGCTCTCTAGGTGATCATAATACTCATAGAAATTTGAGACTCATTTGTTAGGCTGGTGGTCTTCAGGCTCCCTTTTAGCCATAAGGACTGTGTGTCTGGAATAAAGATATTTGGATGTCCCATCAGTGAAAGCTTTTAGTGAATCTGGTTAGTTGTAAGTGTTTAGGGGGTCTGATTGACTTTCTCTTGGATGCTCTTGGGTGGAGTTCCTTACAACCCCTTTAGCTCAGGTGAGCTCAGTGTTCAAATACGTATTCTATGTCCATCTGCTTTGGCAAACTGAGCAGCTGAGCTTTGAGAAGGTAAGGAATTTGCTTAAGTTTGCTCACAGTATGTTGCAAAATCGGAACAGGGAAATTCACCCTGAGACCAGGCTTTTGTATATCAGATACATTAATGCATGTCTATTACTTCTATAAAAGTAGTTGCCCATGGTTTTACTCAAATAAAGTTTTATTTTAAATACATTTAAACTAGTTTTTAAATATTAGGAGCACATATCCCATGAAATGAGATACCCCATGATTCTGAGATTATTTTTAAATCACAAAAGGGGAACTTCTCATTTTAGAATCTATTGTGTTAGCTAGTAAAGTGGAGAGACTGCCCCTCCTCTTGATTGAATTCTCTTGAATTTATATTTTTATTCAAAATATATCCAGATAGATTATAGAAATGGCTCCTGTACCTCACTCAACTCAGATGAGGTCTGGAGTTCTTATTTTATGGGATGAATGCATTATATGCTAGGAATGCTTATTAGGGGTGGCATGTCATTCCAGGTCACAAATTAAGATTAAGAAACCCAGTTTGTGCTTTGTAGTAATTTGGCATACTAAAGGCTGTTGATGTAATTATGGAGAGAAGTGATTTCTGTAGATGCTTCCAGCTTTTCCTATTCCATTGTCCTTAGTGTCTCCATAATTCTCTTGTAAAACTCCTAGGCCAAAGAACCATTTCAAATTCTGAAGTAGGTAAGGCCAAATAATTTAAATATTTATGGCCTAACGACTTGGTAGACATTTGAGACAATAGTTCATTGAATGAAAAGGTATTTATGTCCTCCATTCTTAAATAATTACAGCCATTTTCCAATGGTGTACTGTGGTAGGCCTGTTGAACAGTACACAGCTTCTCAGAGTAGCACACTACCTCTCTCATTGCCTGTTCCACATTGACTTTCATAAAGTATTTGTTTCTTATCATCACAACCGCAAGAACTCAGTTTCATGAAGATATGTCATGAAAAGAAATGTAGCATGATCTAATGTTGAAATTTTCAGCTACTTTCAGCTAGTATTTTGTACTATTACCCAAGAGATACCTCTGTTTCCCTTAATATTTTAAATTTCCTCCTGCTGCAGCACCATCCCCAAAATACTACACACACACACACACACACACACACACACACACACAGTGGGAACTCTAGGTCAGATGCCATGAATTTCTCAGCTGTCCATTTTTTTCTTCAACAAAGATTCTTCAGGTAACTCTATGCTAGGTGGAGTGGAGGATGACTTCTGTTTCATCTTGGTAGTTAATATGATGATTTCACATGGATACATCAAGACTATCTCATGAGGTAGGGGCTTCTCATTTCCCTCATTCCATCAAGGAAAAGCCAGGGACTCAGGATCTCTACCCCGCTTGCCTGGTTAGATGGGGCACAGGAAAAATCACACTCAGGTATTTTATTCTGATTCCTGGGTTGTTTTCTGCCCAACATATTTGATCCTTAATTCTATTGAGTTAAAAATGGGAATGGGAATTATGCAGCATCTCTGCCAAAAGGATCAACTGTTGGCTCCAAGTGACAGTTGCACAAACTCAGGGAATAGATACAGCTTCGTATTCCTTCTGTTAAAATGGCTCATGTGATGAGTGGCTGGGATAAATAGTAGGGCTTCCCAGGACTTTATTTTAGCCTACATAAAAAGTCAGTCTGAGATCCACTGTTTTCCTTACATCTATTTTTAATTTCTGAAACATGCCTTTTAAATAGTTTTTGAAGAAACGGGGGATATTTAGTTAGCAGAAACTGAACTTTAAGAGGAAGAATATGACAGGTGTCTTTATATTTAATCTTCCAATTATACAAAAGAGGGTTTATACTTATCCTGGTCTAGCCCAAAGAGTAGAATTGGTACTTTTAAGTATGCTCATCTACTCCAGGGGTCACTGAATTCCTGCTATTACCAACCCTTGTGAAATTGATAAAGGGGATGGTGGATTGTACAACATCCTTTCTCAAGCCCTTTTAGATTGTTTTTCTAATTTTTATATATTTGTCACTGAGTAGAGCAAAAACTGTGTACTGCGTTTAGCCTACTGTCTCACCAAACACATTTGTTTCCATATTAGTAAAATGAAATGTAGGGTAGCACTGAAATTTTCTTTTGGGAATGGGTATCTTTGTGAGTGGAGGCCATATGAACAGTCAGACTTCTTACTGGACAAGTTGTACATTCTAGTTTACAAGTACAATCTATATTCAAGTGCACCAGTATACCTCTGGGAAACTGGAAAAAGGTTCTGTTCTCTCTCTCTCTCTCTCTCTCTCTCTGAGTTTATTTGTAAATTTCCCAAATCAAATATCAGTATACCAATTCAGAATTTAAAATAAATGTCCTGAGACACTAGGTTTTTTTTGTTTTCCTTGGTACTAGGGATTGAACTCAGGACCTTGTGATTTCAAGGCAGGCGGTGGAACCACTGAGCTAAATCCCCAACCCCTGCGCTAGTATTTTTCCCGCTGTTGAATAGTCTGGATTAAACACTTCATCATAATTAGCATTGATGCTCTTTAGATGCACAGATTAGGCCTTATAGGACTTTGTCTCAAGCTGCTGGAGGAATCACGAAAATCACACTGCCTCCTTCAGTCACTGGGGGACACAGCCCCTCTGGATATGGGCTACTATTCTCTTCCCCTTTGGGGCTTTGCTTCTGCATGGTCCAGCTATGCTAGACATGCACCTGGGTCTTTTGGTCCTAAATCCTTCTGCCCTCGTTGCCCTTCGAACACATCTCTACTTCTTGGTGGAGATGGACGAGTCTTCTTTCCTCTTTCTCTGGCCCTATTGCTGCCCTTTCTCAAGCCTCACCAATTTTTTTTTCTTCTGTAAAAGCAGAATTGATACAAAATTATTTGCCAGCCCTAGGTTGTATATGATGTACAGACAAGGACAGATGGGGTCCGTGCTAGCATTCTATTTATTGGGAAGACATTTCTGAAGACCCCTGTAACTCTCTTAACCAGCTTTATGGTTGTGCAGAGCACACGCACCCTGAAGGGTTTGCTTGCAAGGAAATGGCAAATGGGCTGTGTTTTAGGTTTTGAGTTGTGTATTTCATCTGTGAAGTTGGCAAACACTTGAAAGCCACAGCTACTGTTTTCTAAAAACTTCTTTGCACATGAGCATAAAACAAATGTATTGGATTTGGAGATTATCCAACAACTGCCCTTTTTACAGCTGAATGTAGGTCACAGCTGTTTCTTCTAGAAAGATGCACATCATCGTCGTTTGTTTTCTTCTCTCACAGAGTGTCTCCTCTGCAGAAGTCTGAGATAGTGGACGTAGTGAAGAAGCGGGTGAAGGCTATCACTCTCGCTATTGGGGATGGTGCCAATGACGTCGGGATGATCCAGACAGCCCACGTGGGAGTAGGGATCAGTGGCAATGAAGGCATGCAAGCCACCAACAACTCAGATTATGCCATTGCACAGGTCAGTTGTTTGAGTGACCAGCTGTCTGGTCTTGTGTCAGCTATGGTAGCCAGGCATGAAGGCCTGGTGCTTAACCTACAGACCAGCCCCAAGGACTTTGCCACCCTGTCGAGGTTGCTATCTAGATGAAGCTACTGGTGCATTTAGATTTCTGTTTTGATCTTCTGGAGTCCAGAGGCCCCATGCTGCCAGTGTAGTTTCCTCTGGCCAACCATGAGGCTACTCCATTTCTCTGTCATCTAGACACTGTGCTTTTGCTGGCAGGGAGGTCCTTGGTCCTATGAATATTTCCTGTCAGCCTCCACTCCTTATTCTGCTGCACCAGCTGCTCATACATGTTTCTTGCTGAAGAATAGCTGTGCTAATAGCAGTCATTCTCTACCATCACCTCCTGGGGCCTCCCCCCTTCCTGAAGGTGCTGGCATACACTGGCCAGGTGTTTACGTCAGGGAAAAGCAGTGATTTACAGCCCTGCTCAACAGGTGTGACTGAGGCACTGCCCAAGCCTGCTGCTGCGAGGTGACTTGCTGAGCACATGAGCCAGGGTAGGGCCATCATGACCTCCTGGTCAGTAGTAAACAAACCCCTGCTGTCAAGCCAAGTTTATTCCATTCCTACATGAACTGAGTTGTGTGCAGAGGCTCCTGGTACACTTTGTGGTTATTGCACAGGTGACTTGAGGATGAAAGACTTGCCCATTCCTTATTGACAGCTCAGAGGTGAAGGACAAAAGCCAGACTCCTGACCCCTAAGGTGTACATCTAGATAACCCAAGCTGCTGAATCATCCAGATCCTCTAGATTCCTATCTCCTATCTTCAGATTAAAGTGTGTTGTGACTCAGTACCTGGACGTTCACTGGTTAGCAAGAGCTCCCACCTATTTCTGTGTTTAAGATGTAAAGAATGTTTTAATCTTAATCACATGAACACAAGGAATAGAGGTTTTGTCCCTCATTAGGCTGAAATCAGGGTCTGCATCTAGAAATCAAACTGGGATGGTCCTGTGTGGGCTCACTGCTCCTCCTTCCCAAAGGAGAGCTCTGTGTTAGATTACCTCTCAAGTTCCCTCCTACTCCATGTTCTGCACACAGGGAGGAATTTTTAAAATCCACATGGCTCTGAAAAGTGCACAACACCAATCTTATTCCTTTGTTGTTTTCAAATATATCTTAAGGAGAGTTCTTGAAATAGATAAGAAAAAGGATTCTGATTTTGTAGTTGGGAAAGCCAAGGTTCCTTTGTATCAGGTAACCTGCCTCAGGTCTGAGCACAGCCAAGGTCAGAGAAAGGCAGACCCTGGGCTGCTCTACACACCTGCCAGGTTACTTCCCTGGGTCAGCTGCTCAGAGCCCTGTGGGACTTGTGCTTCCTGCATGCTGTCAGCAACTGTGCATGGTATACATCCCAGCATTATTAAATACTTGAGTTATAACATCATATGGCTGGAAGGGATCTTAAGAGGTTTCCTAGGAGTTCCAGGCAAATATTTGTCTGTTGTTTTTTTCTTTCAAATGTCCAGGGAAGAGAGATTCCATGACTCGCTTTATTGAAACTGCATATTAATAGGTCATGGGATCTTCAGCAATTATGCTCCTCAAATTGAAAGTATCATAGAAGGATAGACCATGAATTATGCTCCTCAAATTGAAAGTATCA